GCGGTTTTCTGATTAACGTTTTTCGCAACTTTGCACCCCCACCCCTATGTTGTCGACCACCCCTGGAGGCGACGACATTGACTTTTACACTCACCTAGGTCCCCATTAGTCCGGCAGCCAAATGAGGATTTTGTCCCTAACCAGGTTTTGTTCTATTAAGTTTTTTTTATTGTTGTTTTGAGTTATATAGGGTATGTAGACCATAAAACCACCGGGTACTTTTTTGGTACCCTTGGGCAATAGCCGCCATCTTGGAAAATGGAGGAAAACGTAATTTACAGTGTAAGCTTTTACTTAAAACTATGTTATGAAAATACCATGCTACCTACAGCAGTGCAAACACTTTTAAAATACTCACAGTGAAATTATATGCAGGAAAATATCATATTTTAACTATATATTGTGCGTTTTAAATCCAGTATTTCTTTTTAAAGTTAATAATTTAGATAAAAAATATGTTCTATCCCTACTTTTTTCAACTTTGTGCTAAAATCTCTGAAAAAAGGCCATGATACATGTTACAAAAGTTGTAGATCTTAAAATTGTGCATCCAATGCACCTATAGGGATCTTTGTTGGATCAATGATAACGTCACAACAATGTGGAAATAGTTATTTGTGTAACTAGTGGTGAAAGTGGCACTTTGCTGCACACGAGAGCAATGTTTACGCACGAGCCGCAGGCGAGTGTGGAATGATCTCGAGTGCAGCAAAGGCCTTTTTCACTCGTGTTACACATTATATTTTTCCTACAGTCACTATAAAGCATATAAATAATTAGTCTTTCAAACACTATGAAACACGTTTTTAGGTTCAGCTGGCAACACAAATGGTGCCATAGAGAAAGTAGTACCCGCGGTCCATATCACTCCGCTATTTTTCCTCGGCAAGAAATGTGCTCCGTGTTTTGAGAATATAGTTCCGTATTTTTTTGTAATTTGAAGTGGTTTCTGTGCCTAAAAAAAAATGCTTAAATGGTATTTTCTTGTTTATTAAGATCGTAGGAAGGTTTTAAAAACGTTTAAAAGAAAAGTCCAGAAAGTTCAGAAATACCGAAACTATAAACACGAAATGACAGGTTAAATCGTAGTTATAATAGTCAATCAGCTGCTCATAGTATAATTATCTTTAAGTGTTGCCAACCTATTTCCAAGCGTACACGGATTACGTGCATAATGGAACCACGCTGTTTTGTGTTGTTTCGTTGGAATCCTGATGTGCGGCAAAGTATAAACCGTACGGCAAAGTATAAACCGTACGGCAAAGTATAAACCGTACGGCAAAGTATAAATATGCAGCAATTAGCAGCTTTCTGTACTATAAACAGTACAAGGAAGCCAACTTTGTCGGGTGACTGTAGGAAAAATAAGTTTTATTTATTTTTTCTATGACAAAGAGGAGTATCTAATAAATGAAAATAATTTAAATAATTCTTCCTAAGAATATTCTGTAGTTCTTGTCTACTGTTTTTGGTATCAAAATGCTTAATAAACCAATGGCTTTAATTTACGCTAATTATAATTCAAATCATAGGATGTAGCTAGTTATGGACCCCCCCCCCCCCCAAAAAAAGAGTAATTTTAATTATCAAAAATTCTCATCAAAGCCCTACCTATATCTTTAGTGATTATGTTATGTTTTATGTATTTATAAGAAAACAGTCGGTAAAGTACTGGCTTTCATGGAAAATATTAATTATTGGGTTTCAAAACATTTTAGGTATAGATCAATCAATCACATCAATCAATAAATCAATAATATTTCTTGTATTTTGTTGATTTGTAAATTGGGAATAGTCCGGCAACCAAACAGGGAATTTTCCTTGAACCCTCTTTTGTTCTATTACGTTTTTTTACTGATGATATTTTATTTTAGTATATAGATGCAGAAAATAACGGGTACTTACAAAGTACCTTTGGGCAACTTCTAGAATTTGAGATAATAATTGTCAACATTAATAAATAAATCGATTAATTTAAAACACGGTAATTAAGCTATAAACTATGCGTTTTTAGTTCGAATATCATGAAATTTAGTATGAAACCTCGTTATAATGTTACTCATAAATTTACCAGATATTAGCCATATCAAAGCTGTTTCAAACTGGCGGTGGAAAACGTGGTTTTTATCTTAAGAGTTGAATTTTTTTGCCCAATTAAAAAAAAACTTGTTATACAACCTTGTTTTAGTGTTAATAAGCGAACAAAATGTATTTTTTGCTAATTTAAACCTGAGCTTCTATAAGTTACTAGCAAGACACATTGTTTTCATCATTATTATGGCATGTAATAATAACACTCGATTTTGAAGTTAACTGAATTTCCGTAGTACTTGTGGCTATGCTTGTTAGTATTTGCGTTACATTGAAAAAATACAATAAGTTAACAAAATTAATAAAAGCGATTTCAACATAGTTGAGTTTTATTATTTTGTATTGTAACATAAATATTTTATTCATGTAAAATTTTAACTTACATAATAGGCCTACATGTAGAAATAACTTGTAAATAGCGTTTCAGTAACCTTAGTGACTATTAGCGATTTCTCTATAGGGTAGCTATTACTGTAGGTCTCATGGTAAGACCTAGGCCCAGGACCCATCTACATCATTTTGATGTCCCCAGAGGCCAAAAACACTCTTTCGCTCAAATTTATATATATATAATTAAAAAAATAGTTCATTTAAAATCCCATGTTATTCTTATGGAGAATATTGTAAAACGTTTTAGTTGCTTTGTTTTTTGATATATTTTTATCAAACTTGGCGGATTTATGTATTCTATACTAAGCTATTAATATTTTAGTAAAAAATACACTTTATTAGTTTCCCTTTAGCAGCAAACCTAGGTACTCTTTAAACATAAATGTGAATTTAATAGATTAATTGAAAATCAATCCAGGCAAATGGCAATTTGCTTATTCGTCAGGTTTGCTGCAGCGGGGGTATTAACTCATTATTCTACATTGTCGTAGTCTTCACTGACGTCTTGAGTTTGTATTTTTCTATTTAAACTGGTATTATATCCACAATGACATAATACTGTGCAAGGTAAGCCTGAGCTCACACAACTACATATTTTTCAATTCTGTTCACTGGTGTATATCAAACGCAACAAAAAAAACTTGATAGGAATAAACCAGGTTAGGTTCATATCTGAGTTTACACATAGCTTATTGAGGTTTTCTTCACCAAAATGAATAACACAGCTCATTTAGATCTTAAGATATAGATCTTTAATAAAAGACAGTCCTTAAAAATTGAAAACCTAATGTTAGTTAGAGGTCTACAACTCACCTTAAGCTCTACATATTTAAATGAAAATTGTCTCAAATGAAAGTTCTAAGTTGGCCTAGTGTTTTTAGACCAGAACGAATAACATAGTACACATAGCAGCTGAGAAATATGTCTTTAAATACAGAAGAAAGTTAAGAAAAAACTACTTTTATTCAACGTTTAAGCTTATAACTCGCCCCAAACATGCCAGATTGCAATAAATAATAGCTGAAAAGAACCGCATTAAATCACTGAGTATTCCCATACCACAACATACAATATCTAGTAAAAATAACTTGAGACACAATCATTAACTAAAGATAAATTGTAAAAAAATTCAAATTTTTATTGTTTGGGGTCCACAACTCATGTTCAACTCAGCCGATTTTAATACTCAATGGCTTGGATTAAATCCAGTAACTCACTGAGTATTCATAGTATATGACATTTCATATAACGTAATTATAACCTGAGATAATATCTTTAATTAAAGACAAATCTTGGAAAAACTAAAATGTTATTTGGTTAAAGTTCTATAAACCCCCTCAAACACGATAGATTTGAATGACCAATGCCTCAAATGAAAGCCAGTATTTTGCTGAGTATTTTATTATAAAAAACATAACATCGCATAATCAGTACTCGATGTAACAATCTTTTTTTCAAAGAAAATTATACATTTATTAAAATCTTTGTTGGTTGAAGTCTCGTAATTCACCTCCGACTCGTTCGATTTCAGTGATCTACATGTCAAATGGATGCCAATTGTTTACTGAGTGTTTTTATTGCAATACATACAACATCTAATAATAATAACTCAATGGGTTGGTCAAAATTTAAACTTTTCTTCTTGAAAAATATTGTTTCTTTGGAGTGAAGATGAAAAGATCGGCCTTAAAGTCCTTAAATATAAACAGTTAATAGTTCAAATTAAATTTGGTAATTTTACAAACGTTTTAATACCAAAAACAGCCAGAGAGAAGTGGCGGATGGTCTCAGGAAAGATGTTACAATTTTATTGAACATATAAAATAACCTTATTTTTCATTGAAAATCAATAAAAAAATTATTTTCTAACGCTTTGTTCTGGCGTTACCCTTGATCCAACAAAACATCCCATTCATGTATTCGATGCTAAATTTAAAGCTCTACAAACTTATTAATATACATTATAGTCATATTTTGAGTATTTAAAGCGCAAAATTGAAATAAAAATAAATATGACATTATTTTTTTATAAATTATAAACTTTGAAAAGTAATACTGACCTTAAAACAAATTATATATATTTAATATATGGTATTTCTGAGTAGGGAATTTAACCATAAACATTTTAAAATAACATGCATTGTTCCATATTAAATAGTTTTTTTATTACAATGGTTTAAGTAAAAGCTTACACTGTAATTTACGTTTCCCGCCATTTTCCAAGATGGCGGCTGTTGCCCAAGGGTACCAAAAAAGTACCCGGTGGTTTTAGGGTCTACCTACCCTAGATATCACATATCAACAATAAAAAAAACTTAATAGGACAAAACCAGGTTCGGGTCAATTCTGCCGGACTACATTACTAAAACCAAAAGTCAATTTAAATGAATCTTTTACTTACGTTCAATAACAAGGGAGTTAAAAGTGGTTTTCTGATTAAAGTTTTTCGCAACTTTGCGCCCCCACCCCTATGTTGTCGACCACCCCTGGAGGCGACGACATGGGTTTCTACACTCATCTAGGTCCCCATTACCAAAATAAAAAGTCAAAATCCCTGACTCTTTTCATGCATACTCAACTGCACCTAGCGCCTGTACTAATATGGTATTTTCTTGTAGATAGTATTATAGCGATGAATCTAAGACTAATTAGACTTATCTAGAGGGAATGGTTTGGGAACAATAAGTTTTTAAGTGGAACCTTGCAGTGTGTTTATAGTTTCTCGGCCATTTTCCAGGATGGCAGCCTTTGCTAAAGTGGACAAATTTGATTATTCTCGAAAAACTGAACTGATACTGATACTGATACTGGTACTGATAATGATACTGATACTCTTTCTGATAGTGATACTGATACTGATACTGATACTAATACTATACTGATACTGATACTCTATTGTGATGAGGATGGGTTTACAAACACTAACTTTAGATTTGGAAGGTCTTTTAGCTCTAGGTTGCGACTGGGGTGAGGAGAATCTCATTGGTTGCGTCTCCCTCAACAAGTCACCACCGGGATGGGGTGTAAATGGTACGATTCCGCTGACAGTGCTAGGCAAAGAAGGTACTCGATATGTAGGAGATCCAATGTTGCGCCCTTTTTGGAGACGCTTCAGCGTTGAGGGCTTATTTGACTGCCTATAGCGACGTTTTGGCTCCACTGAATTTTTATCATGAAGTGATGTAATTTGCGGACTGTAATTCTGAGGTGGAGTTCGTGAGGAAAGCGACATCGGAACGTGAGGCAAAGCTGCAGGTCCAGATTGAGATCGTGAAATCTGTTTGGGCAAACGTTTGTTTATTCTTGCTTGCGGGGCTTGCACAGGAACACTAACAGGCATGGAAGACTGTCGCAACAACGGTGCGTCTTGAATCTTGATGTTCATGTCATAATGGCTCTGCTTTTGCACTTGTAGAATGTAGTGCTCGACTTGTGGGAGAGCTGGCCAGTTCACCTCCAGAAAGTTTATTTCAGATGCGAACAACTGGATTCCCCCCACTGCTGGAGGCTTTTCAAATTCGAGGTGCCACAGATCTTTACAGCAAACCTGAGAAAAGCAAAGATACATTAGAATAATTATAGAAGATTATTAATTGAGATAGGGACTCGACCTAAGTGCGTATTGCAATCCAAATACGAGTGCAGGATGAGTGTAGAATGGAGTGTGCTGCAACAAAAAATAAATAAAATAAAATAACTGAGCGGCAAAGGTAAAAAAAGTGCAGAAAAAGTCAGTAGATGCAGCAATTAGCTACTTTCTGTGCTATAATCAAGGAAGGCCACTTTGTTAGGTGACTGTAGGAAAAATATAATAATCAGCCGATATTTTAGGTTATTAGGCTATAATCTAAATTTGATCAAGTATCAGGGTTGTTAAATGACTTTTCACCACACTATAATGTTTTTGGCTGTATTACATACGTTAATTGGTGGCTGAAAGTTACGTTTTGCTGGACATGTCAGCTGTCATCGTAATTTGGGGACCGAGCAGGTTTTTACATCCCGGGGCCGCAAAATCAGCTGTCCGCTTACTTACTTAAAACATGAATGCATTTTAAATACACAATCAAAATCCATAGCATTGCAATAGAATTGTGTTATTGTCACCGTTGCCTAGCAACTATTTATTTTTATTTTTGCTGATTCCTCAAATTATTCTTCACATAACCTTAAAGTTGTAGTTGTGTTGACTATCAGTGTGCATTATTATAGTGGTGAATAGTGGTAATAGGGTATAGTGTAAGTGTGGTGAAAAATAGCGTTCGTACCACGGACCGAAATGGTTTTGCAGCTCTCGATCGATTTAAGTTCTCGACTTTGTCTCTGGTTTATTATTGCTATTGACTCATATTTACTGAAAAAAATCATGATTTGATTATATATTGTTTACTCTATGAAATCACATGTTTAAATCCTTTTGTTTACAGTGCATTGTTTTGTTTTTGGTTTTGAATTAAAATGGAACTATGATTGTGTTTGGTACTAAAGTTAATTATTTCCTCCGTATTTAACAATTATTATTAGCAATAAAGATGAGTGTAGAATAGAGTAAGTCTTTAGCCATAATTATTTATTTAAAACAACCGAGGACAGCAAGGACCAGTTTAAAACCATCAAAAGCTACAAACTTTTCTCAAGATAAAACCGTTGAAACTTTGATATTCAGGGGAGCATTATAACCACTCAACTACTTGCTGTTTGAGTTTCCCAGATTGAAATTATAAAGAATATAGAATAAAACAAACCTGGTAGTTGTAGGCATGGGTGCCTGCGGCAATTTTCTTCAAGGAGGGAAAGTAGTATCTTGTTACAGAAGGAAAAGCCCTCAATCATAAACAAGTTTATGTGAAAAGCTTTAAAACATGATTGTTGGCTGTCTAGAAGCCAGTATTATTTGAAAAAAACCTTTAAACGCTTATTTGTTGCAATAATCTGTTTGATCTCTCAGAGCATAGTAAGCATTGAATTTAGTTTTTCTTAGAGAGGCCATGGCCCCTACTGCCCTCATCCCTGTATTTCCTATAGATGTCTCGACCGGACCAGATATACTGTAGATGAGATGAGACGGTTGATTCACACGATGATTGAATCATTGGATTGATTGAATTTTTAAAGAACATGTTGATGAATGTTACAAACCTGGTTGTTCCAGGCCTTCTTATAGCCATCTCGGCCAGACCAGATGTAGTTGCGAGAGTTAATCGCTACTGCGGAGTGTCCGGCCCTCGCTCCGGGCAGATCTTCTCTCTTTGCCTCCATCTGCAACTCCTCCCACATCATGGTTTCTGCCAAAGAAAAATAATGGATCACCAACTGTGTAAAGTGCTAATAAAACACATGCAAAAAACTATGTATGGCACAGAAATGCAAAAACAGTCATGAAGTTTTGACAATATTGAACATAGGTGGTTTAACATTTTAGAACATTATGTAATGCACAGAAATATCCAAACATGTGAAGTACTGTACGGAAAAAGACGGTTAATGAAATTATAATGACAATGGAGAAGAGAGGATGATAAAGATGATTGGAGGTCCAATAATGTCATTTAATGGATTATTACAGATATTTCCATCAGAAATTTAAAAAATGTTTTCATGTTTTGAGATTTTGAATTCGAACCATGAAAAATTTAGAAACCTTGTTTTGCACTAATAATGAGGAAAACTATCTGCAACCAAAATGGACAAAATCCAATTTAAAAATTTTCAAGAGAAACATATAAAATGTATAACCCATGTATATAGGAAATTTTAAGAAGAGCACAGTATGATCTTGACTATTCAACATTCACCAGTCCTACATGTTTGTTGATCAAACAAGCTTGTGGCTGTCTTATTTTAGATAAATTATTGACGTTAAACAGTCTGTTGCTGTACCGTACAGTACAGTGGCAAAAACTTGACCGTTTTAAGTGTAGGTGTTATATATGCCGTTATAATCGATTGTAGTGTATACAATAATGTACCATAATGTTGCTATTTTTACGATATTCAGATTTGAGTTATAAAGAGTTGGCAATATGTTTTGCATTTGTGTCCTGACTGCGATCAGGCGACTGTGACGTCAAATCGTATGTTTCCAATAAAGCTCCCGGATTGGCTACAACCCATCACGCCACTTTTCCCTCCACGTTTAACCGCCGATCCAAAAGTTTCCTTACTCGCCAGTCCTCAAGATTCCAGCAAACCATAACCATGTAGTCGGCCGGGTTTTATATCACTCCCAAATGTTGTTTTTTATTTTAATCATTACACCCCAAATGTTTCAGTGGCGACGAGGAAAATTAGTGAATGAAGACAATTAGTGAATGTGCGAGGTAAATGTGGACGTTCGAACTCGGAACTTTGGCTGGATAGCGCCGTGTTAAGTTAAATTAGCGCCTAATTGTAATTGTAATTGTGATAGACTATTAATTGTTAAGGCTTGTAAAGCGCCTCATTACATCGTGTGTTTCGATTTTTAAAAGTTCAAAGTGCGGAGTTTGTGTTAAAGTTATGGTAACTGAGGACTAGGCCTAGGACTGTGGTCGGGTGAGTTTCTGAATTTATGTCGGAGAGTGATAGTGACAGTAAATTTCCTTTGAATTTAGCTTCATTATTCGAAGAGGAAGTAGTACTACAAAGTAGGATGTCGGTCATTGGAAATATTGGTGAGTTCGATGTGAACATTGAATCATGGGACTCGTATATCGAGCGGTTTGAACTATTTTTATCGTGTAATGGCGTTGACGAGGCTAAAAAGGTCAGCACATTTCTAACGGTAGTTGGGGTGAAAACGTATTCGTTACTGCGTGATTTGTACCCACGAAACCAAACACAAAAACATATGCGGAGCTAGTAAAACTCATAAAAGAACATTTGTATCCTAAACCCAACCTTATTGCGGAACGTTATAAGTTCAGTCTAAGAAATCAAATGGAACACGAATCGGTTGCGGACTATGTGGCTAATTTAAAAAAGCTGTCGACACATTGTGAGTTCGGGACAAACCTAAACGATTATTTAAGAGACAGACTCGTGAGTGGAATTCGCAATGAATCAACGAAACAGAAACTTTTGTCGGAGTCAAACCTAACGTTCGAGAAGGCAGTTACACTCATCACGTCAACGGAAGCGGCAGAGCGGAACGCGGCAAGTTTGATGGGAGCAGGTCCACACAGCGGCAGAGTGCAGCGGTTGGCGGGGTGCAGACGCAGAATCGGCATGGGTCCACTACCAAGCCGGAAGGATCCAAGGATGGCGCGACTACTACAGCCCGAGGTGCTCCAGGTCACGTGACACGCAACCAACACCAACATCAACATCAGCCCAACACCAGTGGACATTCCCAAGTGCAGTGTTATTGTTGTGGCAAAACAGGCCACATGAGTAGATCGTGTCGTTTCCATGGATGTGTGTGTCACCATTGTGGTAAGCGAAACCACCTGGCTAAGGTATGTCGCTCACGTTTGTCAAATAATAAACCTAAGAACACTAGACCTTTTAAAAACTCTAGGAATTACGCTAGGAAACATAACTTTGTAGGCACTAATGAGTCAGATCAAACCCAGGATGAAGTGTACGATGTTTCTAACCTTTTTAAAATTAGCCCTGAACCAGTAGATAACATTAATAGATTACAAATTGAACCTGTCAGAATTAACGTAAACGTTCAAAACAAAATGCTTAACTTCGAAGTTGACACTGGCGCTTCAGTTAGTGTTATTAGTGAGAATTGTTATGATGAGTATTTCAAAGGTCAAGAGCTTGTACTGAGTGATTTATCACTCCGATCTTACACTAATGCACCTATTGAACCTGTAGGTAAAATTAAGGTAAATGTATCTTACCAGGGAATTAATGTTAATGATCTTGATTTGTATGTAATTAAAAATGGTTCACACCCATTGATGGGGCGAGACTGGTTATCCGCTGAAATCTCTTTTAAATCAAACAACTTGTATGTCACTAAATGCGAAAATGAATCTGGTCAGGAGCAAAACTTTGAGAAACAAGTAAACCAGTTAGTTAAGGAATTTCCAGAGGTGTTCACAGACAAATTGGGTGAATATAAGAGTGATCCTGTTAAAATTCATGTCAAAGAGCGTTGTGTTCCTAAGTATTGTAAACCTAGACCTCTACCTTTCACTTTAAAGTCAAAAGTCGAACAAGAGCTTTCTAGGTTGATTGATGAAGATATTTTGTACCCGGGCAGTTAAAAGTTCAGAGTGGGCTACACCTATTGTACCTATTTAAAAAAAAGATGGTAGCTTAAGAATTTGCGGTGACTTTAAGGTTACACTAAATCCCTACTTAGAGATTGATCGCTACCCCCTCCCTAGAATCGAAGATTTGTTCAATGAAATCCAAAAGGGTGATTTTTATAGTAAGATAGATCTTAGTCAGGCGTACATGCAATTAAGATTGGATGAGGAAGCGCAGAAGCTCTGTACAATTAGCACGCACAAGGGTTTATTTTCATATAAGCGTATGCCATATGGTATTGCGTCAGCACCCGGTATTTTTCAGAGAAAAATTGAACAGGTATTGCAGGGACTACCAAGTGTGGCCGTTTTTCTCGATGATATCCTTGTCTCTAATTGTGACAACGTTTCTCATTTGAATACATTGAAAGAAGTTTTGAAACGACTTAAGGAAGTCGGGTTAACCGTAAAGTCCGATAAGTGTAAATTTGTCCAATCAAGTCTGGAGTATTTGGGGTTTATCATCGACAGAAACGGTTTACACACAGCACCATCAAAGATTAGGGCTATTGTGAATGCACCAGTACCACAAAATGTCACAGAAGTCAAGTCATTTATTGGCCTAATTAACTACTATGGTAGATTTGTGTCCAACTTGTCAAGTATTTTAAGCCTTTTGTACAATCTATTGAGAAAAGATGTAGCTTTTAAATTTGATGATAAATGCATGCAAGCATTTAATGAGGTAAAACAATTGCTTAGTTCAGCGCCTGTGTTAGCGCATTATGATACCCAAGCGCCGACTGTGCTGACAGTCGATGCGAGTAGTACTGGTATAGGCTGTGTATTGAGCATAATTGATAAAGATGGTGTGGAGAAACCAGTATCGTTTAGTTCTCGGACTCTGTCCGCAGCTGAGAAAAACTATAGTCAGATTGATAAGGAAGCCCTAGCAGTTGTTTACGGTGTACGTAAATACCACCAGTATCTGTTTGGTAAACACTTTACATTGAAATGTGATCACAAACCGTTAGTTAGTATATTTGGTCCTAAAAAGGGACTTCCTGTTTTTGCTGCTAGCAGACTTCAAAGGTATGCGTTGTTTTTATCAGGATACAGTTATGACATTAAGTATGTGAGATCTAACGCAAATAGCGCAGACGCATTATCTAGGTTACCGTTAGATATTAAACACCCTAGTGAAGACCAATTACTGTGGGTTGGTACCTATTTACAGTGCATTGAGGAAAGTTCTTTCCCTGTAACGTGGGAGGATGTAAGGCTAGAAACGCAAAAAGACCCGATTTTGACTAAAGTTTTAGGCTATGTGATGTACGGTTGGCCTAACATTCTTCCTGATGATAGTAGACCGTTATTACCTTATTTTCAGAGGAAGGTAGAGCTAGCTGTTGAGCAAGGAGTGTTAATGTGGGGATATAAAGTAGTAATTCCTGCTAAGTTACGTGCTTATGTTTTGAAAGAATTGCATTCGAGTCATATGGGGATGGTAAAGATGAAAAGCGTTGCCAGGTCATACATGTGGTGGCCTAACATTGATCATGACATAGAAGCACTTGCTAATAGCTGCTCTCCCTGTCTCTTGGAAAGAGCGAATCCATCCAAAGTCGAACTACATAACTGGCATTATCCCAGCAGACCGTGGGAGCAGTTACATTTAGATTATTTGGGACCTTTCAAGGGTAAAATGTACCTTGTTGTTGTTGATGCGTACACTAAGTGGCTGGAAGTTTTTGAAACAAGTTCAACTTCGGCTGGATTAGCTATAGATAACCTAAGAAGCCTGTTTGCTAGATTTTGATTACCCGTTACAGTACACAGTGATAATAGACCTCCATTTACTTCAGTTGAATTTGGAAACTTTCTTAAGTGTAATGGTATCAAACACACCACTTCAGCCCCATATCACCCCCAATCAAATGGACAGGCTGAAAACTCTGTAAAGTACGCTAAGAATAAATTAAAGTGTGCTTTTCGTGAAAATGTTGATGTATCCCTAGCTTTAAGCAGAATTCTGTTTGATTACCGTAACTCAGTTCATTTAACAACTAACGAGACACCAGCTAAGCTTATGTTTAATCGCAACTTGAGAACACGATTAGATCTTTTACGACCTGATCTAGGTAGGCATGTAGAGGAACAGCAAAACAAACAAAAGATGTATGCCCGAGGTAGTAAAACTAAATGTTTATTTACCAATCAGTTAGTTCTAGTAAGAGACTATAGAGCTAGAGACAAATGGATAGAGGGAACCATATTGCAGCAGATAAGTCCAACAATGTATACTGTTAGTCTAAATTCAGGCATTGTTTGGAAACGCCACATAGATCAGCTGATCCCTGTTGATACCCCTCCCACTCCAATACCAACAGTAGCAGACAGCCAAGCCGTAGCAGTGGCAACTCCAATGGGTGAGTCACGTGGTGTATCCAGCCCCAGGAGCCCGATGCAGCCACAGCTGATGGAAGCCGACGTCATGAGGCAGGACGCTGGCGGGACGTCCCCCCTCCTCACACGTCATACCCCTCCATCACGTCACTCCTTACCCAGGATGCCCAGTCCAGCTGTTCATTCTCCCTCTCCCACCAGAACCAGAGCAGCTGAGCCTATTGTTAAGCGTTATCCGCAAAGAGATAGAAAAATTACTACGCGGTTGGATTTGTAAATATTGTATAGATTCTTTCACAATAAATATTTTATTCATGCTTTCATTTTTATTTAGTAGTTTGTGTTGTCATTGTTTATGTAACTCTATTGTATGAAACTATTGTTGTTCCGATCAAATATTCTTTAACTTACTTAATTAATTTCATAGAACATTATACCCATAAAACAAATAATTTTAATTTCAAGATCATATTATGATTATAAGTCAAGATATTAAGAAGGGAGGTGTTATATATGCCGTTATAATCGATTGTAGTGTATACAATAATGTACCATAATGTTGCTATTTTTACGATATTCAGATTTGAGTTATAAAGAGTTGGCAATATGTTTTGCATTTGTGTCCTGACTGCGATCAGGCGACTGTGACGTCAAATCGTATGTTTCCAATAAAGCTCCCGGATTGGCTACAACCCATCACGCCACTTTTCCCTCCACGTTTAACCGCCGATCCAAAAGTTTCCTTACTCGCCAGTCCTCAAGATTCCAGCAAACCATAACCATGTAGTCGGCCGGGTTTTATATCACTCCCAAATGTTGTTTTTTATTTTAATCATTACACCCCAAATGTTTCAGTAGGCTAGTGCTTTTCATATCTATTGTTGTCTTTATGTTCCTTCTGATCATGGGTATTGAGGATTATACACTAGGTAATCCAGAATTCTTGTTATTGTGTAGGTCCCATGTCTGTTGGATATTATCAAGATCAGCATATAGTTAACAATTAATAATCTTATAACCTTATACACTGACTGTGAAAAATACAGTACTCAGTTTTGCTTCTACAAAAATTACTTAACAAGGCTATGATGACCCAGATAGCATGCACGCTTTCTGTAAACATGCGTTTGGTGTGTTTTTCGTTCGTTATTGAAAGTATGCATTGGAAGTTTGGCAAAAACTTGTTTTTGTTTCCCGTGAAAGTCTTCTGAAGCTTATTTGCTGTAAGTTTGCGGTAACGTTGCCTGTTGCCGCCTAGCGCTACGACCAGTTGCGGGATAAAAGTGAAACGCTTCAAGTAGTTCACGATGGCTCCGCACCTGTTCGTGTAGCGCTATGCGGCAACAGGCATCGTTTCCGCAAACCTGTGGCAAATAAACTCCAGAAGACTTTCACGGGAAAAAAAAAACGTCTTTACGCCAAACTTCCAATGCATATTTTCAATAACGATCGAAAAACCCACCAAACGCATGGATGCCGACGGGGATTTTTCTTTTATTTAACGGCTGCCTTTTGTGGAGAGACTAACCATCATTACTGACATTCGACTTTATTAGGCGCAGGATAGGAACAACTTTGGATATACTCATCGTTAAATGATTGTTTTAGTTTAGAAGTGAAAACATTGTAAAAAAAATAAAATAAACAAATTCTGAATCATGTTTTGTATTTGGATCTTTACTATTTTACTTTCAAATGTATTGAACAAATAGTAAGACAATAGTATTACATATACACTCCAATAAAATTAACTGAAGTTAATTTATATAATGAGTAATGGGACGTATTTTTTTTAGTTTCGCCACTGAAAAGTGAAGGAGAAATTAGCGCTGTTTTTTTCAATAACTCTCTTAATTATTCCTTATATACAGTACAAGTAAATTGAATATCCACTATTATTGTTACAAAGACTTTTTCAAACTTGGAAGGGTTTAGTGGTTAGCAGAGCACGAACGATTAATTTCTCGGATTCACAGAATCTGGGAGAAACCCCTTTCCTGCCAATGCTTCTAACGTCATTGTTGTCTTTATGTTCCTTCTGATCATGGGTATTGAGGAGTATACACTAGGTAATCCAGAATTCTTGTTATTGTGTAGGTCCCATGTCTGTTGGATTATCAAGATCAGCATATAGTTAACAATTAATAATCTTATAACCTTATACACTGACTGTGAAAAATACAGTACTCAGTTTTGCTTCTACAAAAATTACTTAACAAGGCTATGATGAATTATAAATAAAACATCGGGTTACACACAAGGAAACTCTAGGCCTACCTGGTTCCAATTGTCCTTGAAGACGAGCCAACGTCGTCGATGGATATGGCAGTAACGTTGATGAGACTAGCGGCTGACTGGCGCCGCGTGGACTGACAGGTCGCAACTCAGGTACTGTGCTAAGTGTTCGCATGGCAGTCGGGGTCACGGCTAAGTGACTGGGTCGTTCAGTGGCAGCAACCAATGTGACAGAACTTTGACCAGCCGTGGAGTAAACCATCATCACTGCTGGAGGCTTTTCGACTTCGAGGTACCACAGATCTTTACAATAGAGAAGAGAGGATGATAAAGATGATTGGAGGTCCAATATTGTTATTTAATGGATTATTGCATACATTCACCAATCCTATGTTTGTTGATCTAACATGCATGTGGCTGTCTTATTTAGATAGATCAAAGGCATTTAACATGTTGCTGTACAGTACAGTGGCAAAAGACTTTTTAAAGTGTAGGCTAGTGCTTTTCATATCTAGTGAGTTATGTTTATGTTTTTGTACTGTACTAACGTAAACACTACCTACTTAAAATGTCTTGAATTTATGTCATACAGTAGCATATCCATAAAATATTGTTGTCTTTATGTTCCTTCTGATCATGGGTATTGAGGAGTATACACTAGGTAATCCAGAATTCTTATTATTGTGTAGGTCCCATGTCTGTTGGATTATCAAGATCAGCATATAGTTAACAATTAATAATCTTATAACCTTATACACTGACTGTGAAAAATACAGTACTCAGTTTTGCTTCTACAAAGATTACTTAACAAGGCTAGGATGAATTATAAATAAAACATCGGGTTACACTTTAGTAGCCTACTGGACAGCCATACAAAATGGGACAGCACTAATTTTTTTTACACACAAGGAAACTCTAGGCTTACCTGGTTCCAATTGTCCTTGAAGACGAGCCAACGTCGTCGATGGATATGGCAGTAACGTTGATGAGACTAGCGGCTGACTGGCGCCGCGTGGACTGACAGGTCGCAACTCAGGTACTGTGCTAAGTGTTCGCATGGCAGTCGGGGTCACGGCTAAGTGACTGGGTCGTTCAGTGGCAGCAACCAATGTGACAGAACTTTGACCAGCCGTGGAGTAAACCATCATCACTGCTGGAGGCTTTTCGACTTCGAGGTACCACAGATCTTTACAATAGAGAAGAGAGGATGATAAAGATGATTGGAGGTCCAATATTGTTATTTAATGGATTATTGCATACATTCACCAATCCTATGTTTGTTGATCTAACATGCATGTGGCTGTCTTATTTAGATAGATCAAAGGCATTTAACATGTTGCTGTACAGTACAGTGGCAAAAGACTTTTTAAAGTGTAGGCTAGTGCTTTTCATATCTAGTGAGTTATGTTTATGTTTTTGTACTGTACTAACGTAAACACTACCTACTTAAAATGTCTTGAATTTATGTCATACAGTAGCATATCCATAAAATATTGTTGTCTTTATGTTCCTTCTGATCATGGGTATTGAGGAGTATACCCTAGGTAATCCAGAATTCTTGTTATTGTGTAGGTCCCATGTCTGTTGGATTATCAAGATCAGCATATAGTTAACAATTAATAATCTTATAACCTTATACACTGACTGTGAAAAATACAGTACTCAGTTTTGCTTCTACAAAAATTACTTAACAAGGCTATGATGAATTATAAATAAAACATCGGGTTACACACAAGGAAACTCTAGGCCTACCTGGTTCCAATTGTCCTTGAAGACGAGCCAACGTCGTCGATGGATATGGCAGTAACGTTGATGAGACTAGCGGCTGACTGGCGCCGCGTGGACTGACAGGTCGCAACTCAGGTACTGTGCTAAGTGTTCGCATGGCAGTCGGGGTCACGGCTAAGTGACTGGGTCGTTCAGTGGCAGCAACCAATGTGACAGAACTTTGACCAGCCGTGGAGTAAACCATCATCACTGCTGGAGGCTTTTCGACTTCGAGGTACCACAGATCTTTACAATAGAGAAGAGAGGATGATAAAGATGATTGGAGGTCCAATATTGTTATTTAATGGATTATTGCATACATTCACCAATCCTATGTTTGTTGATCTAACATGCATGTGGCTGTCTTATTTAGATAGATCAAAGGCATTTAACATGTTGCTGTACAGTACAGTGGCAAAAGACTTTTTAAAGTGTAGGCTAGTGCTTTTCATATCTAGTGAGTTATGTTTATGTTTTTGTACTGTACTAACGTAAACACTACCTACTTAAAATGTCTTGAATTTATGTCATACAGTAGCATATCCATAAAATATTGTTGTCTTTATGTTCCTTCTGATCATGGGTATTGAGGAGTATACACTAGGTAATCCAGAATTCTTATTGTTGTGTAGGTCCCATGTCTGTTGGATTATCAAGATCAGCATATAGTTAACAATTAATAATCTTAGTACCTTATACACTGACTGTGAAAAATACAGTACTCAGTTTTGCTTCTACAAAGATTACGTAACAAGGCTAGGATGAATTATAAATAAAACATCGGGTTACACTTTAGTAGCCTACTGGACAGCCATACAAAATGGGACAGCACTAATTTTTTTTACACACAAGGAAACTCTAGGCTTACCTGGTTCCAATTGTCCTTGAAGACGAGCCAACGTCGTCGATGGATATGGCAGTAACGTTGATGAGACTAGCGGCTGACTGGCGCCGCGTGGACTGACAGGTCGCAACTCAGGTACTGTGCTAAGTGTTCGCATGGCAGTCGGGGTCACGGCTAAGTGACTGGGTCGTTCAGTGGCAGCAACCAATGTGACAGAACTTTGACCAGCCGTGGAGTAAACCATCATCACTGCTGGAGGCTTTTCGACTTCGAGGTACCACAGATCTTTACAATAGAGAAGAGAGGATGATAAAGATGATTGGAGGTCCAATATGTTTATTTAATGGATTATTGCATACATTCACCAATCCTATGTTTGTTGATCTAACATGCATGTGGCTGTCTTATTTAGATAGATCAAAGGCATTTAACATGTTGCTGTACAGTACAGTGGCAAAAGACTTTTTAAAGTGTAGGCTAGTGCTTTTCATATCTAGTGAGTTATGTTTATGTTTTTGTACTGTACTAACGTAAACACTACCTACTTAAAATGTCTTGAATTTATGTCATACAGTAGCATATCCATAAAATATTGTTGTCTTTATGTTCCTTCTGATCATGGGTATTGAGGAGTATACACTAGGTAATCCAGAATTCTTGTTATTGTGTAGGTCCCATGTCTGTTGGATTATCAAGATCAGCATATAGTTAACAATTAATAATCTTATAACCTTATACACTGACTGTGAAAAATACAGTACTCAGTTTTGCTTCTACAAAAATTACTTAACAAGGCTATGATGAATTATAAATAAAACATCGGGTTACACACAAGGAAACTCTAGGCCTACCTGGTTCCAATTGTCCTTGAAGACGAGCCAACGTCGTCGATGGATATGGCAGTAACGTTGATGAGACTAGCGGCTGACTGGCGCCGCGTGGACTGACAGGTCGCAACTCAGGTACTGTGCTAAGTGTTCGCATGGCAGTCGGGGTCACGGCTAAGTGACTGGGTCGTTCAGTGGCAGCAACCAATGTGACAGAACTTTGACCAGCCGTGGAGTAAACCATCATCACTGCTGGAGGCTGTTCGACTTCGAGGTACCACAGATCTTTACAATAGAGAAGAGAGGATGATAAAGATGATTGGAGGTCCAATAATGTTATTTAATGGATTATTGCATACATTCACCAATCCTATGTTTGTTGATCTAACATGCATGTGGCTGTCTTATTTAGATGGATCAAAGGCATTTAACATGTTGCTGTACAGTACAGTGGCAAAAGACTTTTTAAAGTGTAGGCTAGTGCTTTTCATATCTAGTGAGTTATGTTTATGTTTTTGTACTGTACTAACGTAAACACTACCTACTTAAAATGTCTTGAATTTATGTCATACAGTAGCATATCCATAAAATATTGTTGTCTTTATGTTCCTTCTGATCATGGGTATTGAGGAGTATACACTAGGTAATCCAGAATTCTTGTTATTGTGTAGGTCCCATGTCTGTTGGATTATCAAGATCAGCATATAGTTAACAATTAATAATCTTATAACCTTATACACTGACTGTGAAAAATACAGTACTCAGTTTTGCTTCTACAAAAATTACTTAACAAGGCTATGATGAATTATAAATAAAACATCGGGTTACACACAAGGAAACTCTAGGCCTACCTGGTTCCAATTGTCCTTGAAGACGAGCCAACGTCGTCGATGGATATGGCAGTAACGTTGATGAGACTAGCGGCTGACTGGCGCCGCGTGGACTGACAGGTCGCAACTCAGGTACTGTGCTAAGTGTTCGCATGGCAGTCGGGGTCACGGCTAAGTGACTGGGTCGTTCAGTGGCAGCAACCAATGTGACAGAACTTTGACCAGCCGTGGAGTAAACCATCATCACTGCTGGAGGCTGTTCGACTTCGAGGTACCACAGATCTTTACAATAGAGAAGAGAGGATGATAAAGATGATTGGAGGTCCAATAATGTTATTTAATGGATTATTGCATACATTCACCAATCCTATGTTTGTTGATCTAACATGCATGTGGCTGTCTTATTTAGATGGATCAAAGGCATTTAACATGTTGCTGTACAGTACAGTGGCAAAAGACTTTTTAAAGTGTAGGCTAGTGCTTTTCATATCTAGTGAGTTATGTTTATGTTTTTGTACTGTACTAACGTAAACACTACCTACTTAAAATGTCTTGAATTTATGTCATACAGTAGCATATCCATAAAATATTGTTGTCTTTATGTTCCTTCTGATCATGGGTATTGAGGAGTATACACTAGGTAATCCAGAATTCTTATTATTGTCTAGGTCCCATGTCTGTTGGATTATCAAGATCAGCATATAGTTAACAATTAATAATCTTATAACCTTATACACTGACTGTGAAAAATACAGTACTCAGTTTTGCTTCTACAAAGATTACTTAACAAGGCTAGGATGAATTATAAATAAAACATCGGGTTACACTTTAGTAGCCTACTGGACAGCCATACAAAATGGGACAGCACTAATTTTTTTTACACACAAGGAAACTCTAGGCTTACCTGGTTCCAATTGTCCTTGAAGACGAGCCAACGTCGTCGATGGATATGGCAGTAACGTTGATGAGACTAGCGGCTGACTGGCGCCGCGTGGACTGACAGGTCGCAACTCAGGTACTGTGCTAAGTGTTCGCATGGCAGTCGGGGTCACGGCTAAGTGACTGGGTCGTTCAGTGGCAGCAACCAATGTGACAGAACTTTGACCAGCCGTGGAGTAAACCATCATCACTGCTGGAGGTTCTATACGAACAGGCAGATAAGGCTTTTGGACTCTTGGTTAGTTGGACGAGTCTGGGTGGTGCTTATCTTTAGTAATGGTAGAAGGGGGTGGGCTTTGTCGGGAAAGAACGCGTATTGCTCGGAAGTACATATACAGGCCTCGTGTTTCGAAGGCAGTGATACCAACGTTTGAAAACTGAATTTCCCCGTTTGCTTACATTGTCCGCGATTCATCATGAATAATTTAGTTTGTAGAAGTGGGAAAGTAAATATAGTTATTGTTAGAATTTGTAATTTATACAACTATTCAATACATACTGTGATTTCAGCTATTTTTGTTATTTTTTTATCACATACAAACAGTTGCATTTACATTCAGCTGTCTATGGTTTACAATTATAAATTTCCCACCATAGACTATATTCTATCTTTCGACGTCTGTAATGTTTTAATTTGATAACAAAGTTAATCCAATAATCTTTTATTCAGTAGTGTACCTATTACTCAAGTAATAATCAAAACCCAAGTAATTTCAATTTATCTCTATCTGTCCGTCTATCCGTCTTACATTGTTACTGTGGCGCCAAAATACCGATTTATGCGGCCACCTCCGATAATGTATAGAGTAGCCTATCAAGGTTAAAATAGTTTTCCTGCATTTGCCAGATTGGTGAGAATGTCTTTCCCTAACTATTTTCAAAATAGAATAACGGTCATTCGAACATAAACCCAGTTTTTTGCGATATTTGGCACATTTCCCCTGATGTTTACTATAATAACTCCTGTTCAGAGAATATGTCATATATCAAATAAAGATCAGTTGTTAGAAGGAAAATTCTTTATGCAAACTGTCACTGATATGTTTACAATATAAATTGTTAACAAATAGTGAATAGTTGCTGATCCTGGTTTGATTCTTCAAAACTTCAAATCTTCAAATAGAAGTGATATAAATTACTTTATTGTTATTCAATAGACATGGTTTAGCCCCTGAGCTGAATTAATGACTATAATATAATATAAATACCTCGTCACAGCTCTGAAGTTTCTGTATATTATTACAGCTGTTTCGGCATCAAAATGCCATCCTCAGATACACATATATCCACCTGAATTGGCGTCGTTAAACTGTACACACACACGAACACGATAAAAACATAAAAACACGTAAAACAAGAGACAGGCCTGTCGCGTACAGGTCATTTAATATGTCAACTACGAATATACCATATACTACGAAGGTGTACCGTTTTCATATCGAGATATGACAGGTTCTCAAAGTTACCAAGTAAGCTTACCATAATTTGTTCATTAATTCATTACAATGGAAATACTAAAAACAATTGCACTGTTTTCAATTTAGATTAATTATAAAAGTTGTATATCCAAAAACATATTGAAACAAAGTGAACAGAATATCTTGTAAATCAAAATGCTTTGTTGCTTAACTTATAGTAGAATATACATGCATATTTTGAATTTTTCTGTTTGAGGTAACATCATAATTGAAGGATTGGTTAGAAAGATTTAGATTATTCCAGACAATTCACGACCGTACCGCTTGTCCCTGACCATCACGTTTATGATTTCTATCATATAAATTTCAAAAATTAAAATATCATCATATTTCAATGTTTTATACACAAAAGAAGCACACCTCTATAAAAACATGAAGATTTTTCGGGTCTCAGGTAAGTTTTTTCGGAGTTATACAAACTTAAAAAGATTTTATTGACTTTTTTTCAATGTTTTGAGTTTTTTTAATTTTTTATAGAAAGACCATATATACCAAAAGCTTAGTGAGCTGTTTATTGTATAATGGTCCTAAAAGTAAATTAATTTATAGCAAAACATAGTTACAAAAATAATATTAACTATTTTTAATATTCATTTGAACGTCCGTTATGGTCGTGACAGGATTTTGTGTTTTTCCACTAAAGATCCTCTTTAAAAAAAAAAACTACCAAAGATATTGCGTTACCATGGACATTTTATGAAACTTCAAATGTTAATGAAATAAAAAAAATAATAAAAGTTTTGAAAAAAGGGAAAAACAAATTGCAAAGTGCTTTTCCTGAAAACGTACGTTTTTAAATTTTCACTCCAGAACTTTAAATTCGATTTGAGCTTTCAATTAAGAAACACATTTGTTATTGAATGTAATTATGCCTTATTATTAACATTTCGTAAACGATTATAAATATCATTAGGTTAAGTGATGTATTCATTAAAACAGGTTCAAATAAACTCTCCCAACTATTTTATATGATTACGTTTGGTTGACGACTTTTTTTTTCATTTCGCTCAAATAAAATAATGCCTGACTTACATATGTTGGTTTCATTGTTGTTGTTCTTCAATATTATTTAGATAGAGATTAATACTCTACACGTATATATGTATTACCAAAACGTAAGGGTCTCCGGGGAAAAAAACTCTACCATTGAGATAGGGAAAAAGTTAAATAGCTCATTGGTTAAATAGCTCTTTTAAATAGTTCTATTTTTTCACACAGGCTATGATGTAAATGGAAGGGTTGCTTGCTGTAAGCTATAACAGTAGATAGTGTATTTTCCAATTTGGAAACTGAGGGTGAAAACATATGTTATAAGGCGAATTTTTTTGAAAAACTAACAGTCTCATTTTAGGGTTAGTTTATATTCAACCAAAGGGCCAAAAGTCTATAAGTCGTTTTTCATTAAGCTTGATTCATTTAGTTTAATTACCGGTGATGAAAAATTAATTATTTTATGTGACTAAATAACTCATATATTGTATCTCCATAAAGGAGATATATATATATATATATATATATATATATATGTATATATATATATACATAGATGTGGAATTTATTTTAAAGACAATAGGAGCTGAGGAGATTCCAGGAACTGGGAGGCCCATTTGGGTACACGTGCACTACACATCAACTACTCAACACAGATTGATGCAAAACATGTTTACCGCAGTCTTATCCTTTTAGTCCATTGTTTCCGCGGGGGTGCGTTAGTTTAGGCATGGCTTTGTTAAATGCAGAAAACAATAACTTGACAGTAAAACATTTCAAGCCCTTTCAAATAGCTTTATTAACATAAATATTGTTTTTTATTCCGTCATAGGCGATTTAAATAGATATCCATTTCATCACTCATGTGATCATTTGTTTTTTCTTGATTTTTTTTTTTAATTACAGCAATCAAATAATCTACATTTTTATATGTCAGGTAAAAACAAAAGTTTTTGGTAAATCAAAGATTTTCCTGTTTTATATTATTTCAACGAGCTTAACAAATTATACACAGTCGATCAGAGGTTGATCTAGATTCAAAAAGTTTCAATGAACTTCTAAACTCCTTATGACAGTAAAGTTATACGACAAGTCAAATATCACTACATTTCTTACCTAAAAAAGTACTGTAGTGTAGTTGACATATTTTTAAGATGTGTATAGTTCTAAAATAAAAATAATAAACGGTATCAGCATTCTGACACATAATTTCTCCCATAAGTTTGTCATCAACCTTCATCATGTGTAAGCGGTGAGAGTAAATAAACGGAAATGGGATTTGTACAATTTTGTTCAGAATTTAAAGGACTATAATATACTAAATTTTTATAAAAATCGTGTTGGCCATTTTTGGGAAAATCAGATTTTTCTGTTATTTTATGGGGTTTTTATGGGAAATAACATAATTTACAATAACTTTTGAACCGTAATTTTTACAGAAATGGGATTTGTACCATTTTTTTTTTTAGAATATAAAGGACATACTAAATCTTTATCAAAATCGTTCTGGCGATTTTTGGGAAAATCCTATTTTTCTGTTATTTTATGGTGTTTTTATGGGAAAATCCCCATTAAAAATAAAAATTTCTAAAAAATGAAAAAACTATCAAAATTGTAAGGACCATAACGAACTATGTTAATTCAAAACCATATTTTTTTCTAAAATCCTATTTTTTGTTTTTTTATGGGGTTTTATGGGAAAATAACATAATTTACAATTACTTTTGAACCGTAATTTTTACAGAAATGGGATTTGTACCATTTTGTTCAGAATTTAAAGGGCTACAACATACTACATTTTTATCAATATCGTTCGTGCCATTTTTGAGAAAATCCGATTTTTCCGGTTTTTTATGGGTTTTTATGGGAGAATCCCCATTTAAAATCAAAATTTCAAAAAAATGAAAAAACCGCCTGGAGATACCATGGATTAGAACCTACATACCAAATTTCATCGAAATCGGACCACAGGTATAGTCCCTAGCTCTGTACACATCCAGACACACGCGTAAGGGGTTTTACCGAATACTCGCAAACACCTAATTGTGGCATCTTTCAAACTGCAACAACCAGTGGATGAAGGAAGGTGGTAGAACCATGTGTGGATCGATATTTTTAATGAACACTCCATTTGAACATCTAACATTCCAGTTTTTAATTGTGGCACCTTGCCACAAATCGGTATATATCAACAGTGTGTGGAAAGGATGCCACTAATGCGTTGTAGCGCTTGAGCGGTGTGTTCGCCCCCCCCCCCCCCTACTTCTCGCGTGCGCTGTTGCCAGTTATCCGTTTTAGTTCCTTCATTGCGTTCTGTATTCATGTGGCTATGCCCTAGCCGCTATAGCTCATTGCCCGCGCTCATCACGTCGTCTTTTATTAGTGTAACGATTTTTTTACATGCAGTTTTTTCCAAGATCCAATAATTTTGACAATTATTGGATTTAAAGTCAATGGACCAAATGAAATTTTGTGAGGATTACATAAAACCACATGCTATGTCGTTGATATTTTATCGTCACATTGTATGTATGGTTTACGAACTTAGATACTTGGATTAAAGGCCATAATGTGCTGGGTAAATTATCAGTTTCATGGGAATATACAATAAATTTACATTAAAATACGCAATAAGTATGACTCCGTTTTTTCTTTATGCATATAATTAATTCATAATAATGTAAAAGTATGCGTAACAAATTTTTCACCACACTATAATGTTTTTAGCTGTTTT